TAGAAATGATAGGGCTTTCCATTAGTTAGTAAAACAGAATCTTTTGCCAGAGATCTCATCGCAGAATTATCTTCACTAAGAAATGCTCTAGCAATGATTAAAAAAAAAAAAAGAAAATCTTCAGATAGTAATTGGAAGCATATTTTATTTCTTAGATAATCCCTTTGCATTTTTTTTTCAAGCTAGAAAACCTAAAGCTGATATATTTAATAGGAATGGAAGAAAAGATTTTTAAGGAGATCCCACTTGAAGAACAGCAAAACAACAACATAGACCCGAGTCCAGAGTCTGGAGGGCTAACAATAGGAAACTATGTCTTTATTCATCTGCTTTCCTCTGGTTTTGACTCCCCTGTAGCGCTGTTCATCTTTGCTGAACTCCCTTCAGATGTTCTAGCCAGTAACATTTGAGTATCTCTGCTCATGTAAGTAGTCATATTAATGTCAAGAACAGCATTGTGTGGGCATGGAGAGCCATGAAGCGTAGCAGCAGCACATATTAATGGGGTCCTGAATCCACCAAATACCCAAGGGTCCTTCTGTTTCCAGTTCCTGCACCCCCCCCCAAGGAAAAATTAGAAGAAACAGTAATAAATCTATGCCACTGCATAGAAGTATGTAAGTAAACTGTGCAAACGTGTGCAAAACAACTCTGGTGACACAGTGCCAAAGGGAAGCTGTACCCTGACACGGAGCAGAAGGGGAGGCAGGCGAGGCCAGCAGCCAGCGCCCTGAGCAGCCACCCCGGCACCTTGGTTACCTTGTGCAATGATATTCCTGAACCTCTCTGTCTCTGTTATAAACTGTTGTGTGCTGAAAAGAGAATTTTACCCAGAACTAAATGAGACACTCTAGACAACGAGCACACCATGATAAACGAAAACGTGTTGGCTTACCCTGTGTAGATTTAAGGACGTGAGATGAGGACAAAAGCAAGTTAAAGGTACCTGTACTCTCTCTGTACTTCCTTTGCTGATCAGATGCAGATTTCACAAAGCCCAGTGACTATGAAATCCAGCACTAACTACCCCAACTCACAGTGCTATATAGCAAGGGTACTTCCAAGGACAGATAATCATATTCCTGATTCACAGTCACTTGTCTCCATGCTGTGAGCACCCAGCATTCTCTTTCCACTATTTCTGTTGAGTGCTCTGTAGCTTTCCATTCCATTCCAGGTAAAGATCAAAGTGTTTTCAGCCAAGCTAAAATAAAATAAAATAGAATATAAATGAAATAAAATAAAATAAAGTAAAATAAAATAAAATAAACCCCATGTATTTTACATGAGGAAACACCTGCCAGCAGTTTGCACTCAGGCAAAGGTCAATGGAAACCTGAAGGAAGCTCTTGGCAGAGAGTGCCTGGTCTTTTTTTAGAGTGGCCCAGTAAACCATAATCCCAGCCCAGAAACCCAGTCCCTGGGCTGACTAGTTCACCTCTCGCCCCCCTGTTGCACAACAGGAGAAATCCATCACCCATTGCCTACTTCAAAAGCAGTTTTAAAGCTGCAGGCAGTGGTTTTTGACCTGACTCCAGCTTATCTGGCAGAGTGCACTGTTCACAGGCTATTCGGAGTCACAGCTGCAATAAAAGAGAGCCCCTTGATAAGCAGCTCTTGGGTGTTTCTTTGTCGAGACGCACCAGCTGATGTGCTCTGGCAATTACTGCGTTATCAAGATGGTTGTGCAACTGAAAGGGGGGTGAATACCATTTCCAACCAGCAAGTGAACTGCCAGGTGCAGGTGTGAAAAGGACAAACAGAATCAACGCAGGCTTAATGCAGAGAGGAACATGCCAAAACCTCCCATGACAACTGGAAAGTAATTGTCACATTAAAAAAAAAAAACCTCAACAAATAACCAGAAGAAGAAATATTATACTTTAAGCGTATATTCTCTGCTTGTTCTGTGTTGTTTGTTAGTTCTGGTGTTGCCAGCCTTCAGAAGAAACACCTGGGGTCAGAGCCAGAACAGGATCAAGTGGTTGGCTTAAAGCCAATCAAGCACCCCTCTCAGTTTCTCGGTTTGTTTCCTGATTCTTTGGAAACTTTTCCTGAAATCATACAGGGAACACTGAACCAATTCACTGACTCCCACAGCCCCTCAGCAGGGACCCACCGCTTCTACCCTGTGAGTTGCATGAGGAAGGTCATCGCCTGTATGTGGACCAAAGGCTGGGACCAGGAGACCACTTGTACGTCGAGGAGCCAGAGATCCACATCACGGTTAACCAGAGCAGGCACAGCCTGCGCTGTGCTGCGCAGATGCCTCGGCCACAGGATAAACTCAGCCTGGAACAGGAGCCTGCAGGCAGCTCCCGCTTGGTACCGGTGATCGTGCCTCCTGCCTGGCTGTGCCTTTGTCTAAAAGGGCAACAAGAAGTTCTCCTGTGAACGTCCTTCATTAACAGAGTTGTTTTCTTGTAGAAAACTACGTAATAGCTTGAATGACCAACAAGGAGGAGCTTTCCACGGACAGGACAGGACCTGCTCTGTGTGCCCTGGGAAAAATCCACCTGGGCTCCATCCGATGCTGCACAAACACAAGGTTCCCAGCAGCTGAAGGGATGTAAGATTTACTCTCTATCTATATTCCTCCTCTTATTCTGTCTTATTAAAGCAGTTACCTTATTAAGTCATTTGTTGTCAGGCCTTTCTTACCGATATCCAGAAGAGGCCTGAATCAGCTCACTCTCACCTCACTCCCCACCTCCAGGGCAGAACATCCTCACTTCCCACCTGTGCCTTAAATTATAAATGAGTCTTTGCAACCTAGATATCTACGCTCCTCCTACAGTCAATGGAGAGCTAATCCATACAGTTTGTGGACTCTGCAGGGCAAGTCAGCTCATGTTTGGTCAGCTGAATCCCTCTCTAGCCTCCACTGGCCATGCTGGCTAGCCCTCCATTTGAGGGTAGGATTAGTGCAAGGATGGCCACATCATCCTTTGACTAGTATGTATGAAATTTCTTTTAAAAATTGAGATAACGGAAAGCCATTTTAGACACAAACGTTGCCAGACCACCCAAAGGATGACCAAAAAGGACCGTGGGTACTCACAGTGCTCGCATGCCTTCAGCAGAAGGCAGAAGCAATGCCCAATAGCAATGCTTTTCCAAATAATTTTACTTTATGTACACAATGCATTCAGACTTGCCTGAGTTCAGCTGGAGTGACCTACCTTTTGCCCAAGAACAGCTTTTCCCTGATGCAACCAAAAATTTCAGCATGACTGCAACAGCTGGGAACCAGGTATAACAGTGTCGTCGGCATACTTTTAGCAGCCAGTGTTACTGTGCTGTCTGTGGCTAGTCCGGGGCATGTCATTATCTCTCGCAGTATCTCTCATAAAGATAGATAGGAACTTCAATCTTATAATGAAACATTACCTCACACACAGTGATCCCTCACCCTGTAATGCCAGGCTAGTTAAGCAGTGAACCTGTCTAGAAAGTGCTATAAAACATAAATGGCTGGCCCCAGCGATTCCACAGACCCATAGATATCTATTAAATGAGCAAGGTACAGTACGTGGTGAAAATGGAACCAAGTTACTTTTAATTCATTTAGTCCTGTTGATCTTAGGTATTAAGAAATAATAAATTATTTTGCAATTTATATTAAATATTAGTAAGAAAATTAATTATTCCAAGACTGTTGACAATGACAGAGACAAGTTAAAATAATCTTGCTGGAGCTACTGACCAACATTTAATGTTGTTGCCAGTAAAGAATCATACTTTAGGCGATAGAGCATAGAATAGATCATAGAATGGTTTGGGTTGGAAGGGACCTTAAAGATCATCTAGTTCCAACCCCCCTGCCATGGGCAGGGACACCTTCCACTAAATGAGAATTTGAAGTATTTTTCCTTCACGGGATTAAAACGGAGTTCATAAACCAAGCCAGAAATACTGGTCAGCTGTTGGCTGCTGCTGGACCTCCTCCTCCGCTCTCCTCACACTCCTAGGAGAAATAGAAACTCCACCCAAGCTCTCATTCTACCTCTGCCTCAAGATCTAAGTGGGTGAACAGTCACCAATATAGCCAAGAATTGAAAGCATTCAAGCAGGAAAAATTATCTTCATTTTTTTTATTTATTTCTTGGGTCACTGCCCAGCCATCAACCCAACCTCTTGCTATGCTGAACCACATCTGGTGTGAAATTGTGTGTGAGTCAACAAGGAAATGAAATATTTTGGCAATGTTTGCTGTTGGGATTGAAATGTCTTTTGTCTTTTCTGGCTGATATTTTTAATTGAGATGATTTTATGTAGCCTCCCTTTAATCAGAACTTTCCTCCGACCAGATCCTAGAGCTCTGAAGGTTATGGCTAAGAAGACGCCTCTTTGAGAGAAATCCAGAAATCAATAACTAGTTATTGTAAAACTGTACAATAGGCAGTAGATCGATTTAAATAATTAAAGTCTAACAACATTTGGTTAATGATCTATCTAGTTCAGGTTATTTATCTGCCACAAATTTCAATACACAGCAAAGAGCTCTAAGAGTGAAAAGCTCCAGGAACGGAACACAGAAAAGCTCTGCAAATATCTTTGTGAGTATGAGGCCCAAAGGGTGTTAGCGGGTGTTTGTTTTCTCTAAGAAGGGTTGGGTCCTGTATGCTGACTTTGGTGGGAGCTGTTATGCTCTGCCTTCTTTTAAATCACACCTCTGATGAATTTTTCTGGCCTTTCAAAGGCCACATACTTACAGTCAGAATTTTACATAAATATGTTTGGTAAAATGTTTAAAGATGGGAATAACGGCTTTTTTTGTCTTTTTGTATCTGAGCAAAAAGAGTGATTTTTAGAGATGCTGAGAACCACCACCAGCAATATACCAAGCATTTCTGAAAATTAGATCCAGCTTTAAGGAACCTATATATGAATCCAGATAGGCCAAATCATAGATAAAGAAATCAGAGGACATGTAATTCAGTCAATAAAAGAGACCTCAAGAATGGATGAGTAAATTTAGAATTTTTTTCAGAGCAACCATGTTAATTCCAAGCCTTTCTTTCTTCATGCAGTGCTTAGTGGCCCTGGATAAAATGGAGGATTTGAGTCTGAAACAGACAGTGCGCCGACTTGAGGTAGGTGAAGTGGAAGGTGTTCTCTTCACAAAACCAATATGCAGCACGTGGGACCAAGTGTGGAAGTTCAAAGCCAGACCTGACGATCTGCTCATCGCAACCTATGCAAAAGCAGGTTGGTGTGGGTAGGAAATAGAACAGAAAAGCTTGGGATAGTGCTTATTGTTGGAATTGAAAATTACATTTTTCTATTGTGACTGATACTTGTTTAATCCCAAACCAGATATATTTTAAAGATGTGAAGCTCTGTTGGCTGTGACTAGTAACTTCTGACTTCTTTGGCAGAAGTAACAACCGTCTATTATTATTGAAGTTCAAATGGTCAAACCCTAATTACCTATACTTAAATGTTTCCTTTTGATTTTGATTATATACATACATATTAATGGCAAAAATAGACATTTTCCACCAGTAAGTAATGATTTAACAAAGCCTAGTAAAAAGTCATCATTACTAAGAAATAATAGAAACTGACTGAACAACTATGGATTTTATTATGTATTTGGGGAATGACTTGGTGTGTAAACCAGCAGTGATTTCTGGAAATGGCTTAATTATTTTAAGGGAATAACCAAAGTCACTTAATAATTTCCACCAATAAAATAAAATACTCACCATTAATATTAGCTATCTGGTATTTTATTCAGTGATTGGCCACTTAGCTCATTATTATTTCTCCTCTTGATCAGACCCTTTATACTTACTACACAGGAAAACAGTGAATAATGAGCATCAATATTAATCCTGGATGAAAAAAAACATGTACAGTTTAGGGGATTCAGGAACAGATTCTGGAACATCTGATGATCATAAAAAAATAATGACTTGGATTAGCAAGAATTTTTAAGTATTTCTTTCAGTAGGGAAAAAAAAACATTATTACAAAAAAGAATCCCATTATTTTTGTAAAACCTGAACGGTTTTTATTTATTTCCTGCATACTGAAAGCAAAACCACATTATTTCATCCAGCCTGGATTAAAACCTCTCAGCCCTTGAACTGTAAAGAAATACAAGTTAGGAGTCCATTTAACATTATGTTGTATCTGCCAGAGATGCACAATTCAAGCATCTTAAGAAGGGCTGAGTTTCCTGCCCACGTTGCTTTCCAAGTTATCCCTTAGCCTGTTCTCTAGCTGACCTGCCACAGTACCTTAGAGGAGATGTGGTTAACCCAGTGATCATGGCTATAAGGGAAAAGAGGCACCTGAGAGACACAATACTGTAACCCTTACAAGATGTTGCAGTGGCTCAGGCAGATGAAATGTTTTACTCACCTTCATTAAAGCATTTCAGATAGGAATGTTGAAAATACCGCAACTTTTTTATGTTTTCAAACTGCATGAAATTTTTACTCACTTGAAGTTCAGGTATTTCATTTTTTTCATTCAAATCCAGGATGAAAACAAATGTTGAAATACCTGATTTTTTTGTGAGGTATGAAAACTGGGAGGAAGGGATTTCATTCCTCTCTGCAAATAATACAGTCTCCAAATAACAGTGAGTTTATCCCAGAGCTATTTTCATTATTTGTGTGGGTGCAGAGGCCTTTTCTGATGGCAAGAAGCAGCCTGTCTAAAATGGAATCCCTGAAACTGTGCTCTGGGAATTACCTTTGTATTCCTAATTTTACATTTTCTCTCTATTATCCTATCTTTCCACTTTGTCCATCATCTTCTGTGCTGTTCCTTCCTTCTTTAATGGAGTCCATCCCTCTGGCTTTCACTTCCCTAGCAGAAGAGACTCTTGGTTATCCCTGAGGGAAACCTCTAAATACTGACCTTTTCAGGTACCACATGGACACAGGAGATAGTGGATATGATTCAACAAAATGGAGATGTTGAGAAATGTAGACGCGCCAGTACTTACAGACGCCATCCTTTCCTTGAGTGGTCTATCCAAGAGTCTCCAGATGACAGTTACTCAGGTGAATATTATACAAATAGGTTTGTATTTTAGACAAAATGAAAGAAAACAATCACCCAGTGCTGATGCCATGGGTTTCCTGGGAAAGGTCCCACGTGCTTTGTCACCAAACTATGCACCGTGCTGGGTATCAGGGATCAGTTCAGCTGCTTTAACGTAAATATCTAGTGCTCCTCAAGCCAATGAAGGGCTGGCAGATGTGACTCAGGCACTACTGAAGACTGTGCTGTTTTGGAATGGCATCTGAAAGCTGTGTGTGATACTCCACGGTACCTAAAACAGCAGCAGATATATGTAAAATGGCAACATGGAGGCAATTGAATCCTGTTCTCTGATTAGGGGCTGTGTGGAAAAGAAACTTGTGCCACGGATGTATTCCCAAAAGGTGGATAATGTTTCCAGTGGGTTTGCTACAGTTTTGAGTAACTGCTATTAAATTCTAGGGTCTAATCATCTAAGCAAGCTATGGGGCATTCAGGCAACCAGCAGGCCTGGCTGTTTTGTAAAGACAGTCTCCTACAAGAGTCTTCCCCCACCAAGGGCTCCCATTCCACACAAATCTTTAAGCCAGACTCTCTTCAGATTTAAAGCTAAAAAGCTTGACTAACTCTGCAGCAGAAGTGCTACTTTTACTCTCTAAGCTAGACTGTGTTGACACAGAGACACAAAAAAATGACAGAGGATGACAGAGGATGATAGACGATGACAGGGAAAAAATCATAGAGGTCATGATAGATGTTTAAAAAGGAGCAGGGGGATAACACATCTCGACATACTACCAAATATTCCCCAGTATTTCCATATATCCATAGCTACTCGAAATCTACTGTCCATCATTCTCCTAGTTTCTCTTTACATGCTATCCAGAAAGTCTAGTCAGCCAGTCTATTCTTCTTGTATCCTAGAAAGAAACAAAAATTTCTTAGCTGTGAAGTGAAAGGAGATCACTAAATATTGTGAAGGAAAAACTTTGGTTGGGTAAATATAAATTAGTATTCATCGTTATCCCTTGGAATGCAGGGGTTATGCATGGGCTGAAGAAAGCAAGAAGAAGATATGAATCAGTGTTCCCCCTTTCCCGTTGAATACATAGCTAAAAATTTTTATAGAAACACTGAAGGTGCTTATGCAATGTTGTGTATGTTACACTGCCACATAATTGCTTTGGAGATGAATGATCGTTGCAAGGTGAACAGCTGAAGAGTCACAGTCAAAATCGCACATATGAGAATAGCAAAGAAGTGCTAGTGCAATTTAGAGAACAAGTCACGTCTCATAACGAAACATCCCACAGGCCTGGAGTTAGCTGAAGCTATGCCGTCTCCACGCACAATGAAAACTCATCTCCCCGCGCAGCTGGTGCCTCCCTCCTTCTGGGAACAAAACTGTAAGGTAAGGCTGAAGAGGTAGGACTCAATTCTTCTTCACCATCAAAGGAAGTGACATAAACCAGGACTGAATATGGTTTCCAGAATCTCTGTGAAACCTAAAGGTCTCCCCAGATATTTTCCCTTCAATGTGCAAAGCCTGCGTGAAAGTAAAGAAGTCATGACAAAGTTACCTGCGTTGGATTTCAGAAAATGGCAGCTATAAAGCAAAATCTCTTAAGCCTCTATCATCAGGCTCCACGAGAAAACTCCAGGAGGTGCTCAATATCTATATAAGCATGTGGAAGTTAATTTTTCTCTCTCTCTTTTCATATCAATAAAGATAATCTATGTGGCGAGGAATGCAAAAGACAGCCTGGTGTCATACTACCATTTCCACAGAATGAGTAAAGAAATGCCTGACCCAGGAACTTGGGAGGAGTTCATGGAGAAATTCATGACTGGAAAAGGTGATGAACTGTAATCAGTTGTAAGAGATTTTGTTCCTTTAAAAAACGTATGACATTTATTTATTTCAGCTACGGTTTGAAATCCAGGGCTGACACTCTACGGAAGGGTATCCGCTAAAGGTGTTCTTCATTTGTGGGGTTTTATTAGTACCTAAAAGATTAATTCTATCCTTATGTGCCAACTTTGAAAGAAAAAATGCTCCTTTTTATTCTACTATCATTCAAAAATGTATGTGACAATTTTCAGGCTTAATCTCTTCTCTCTCAGCTTAAAAGAAATCTGCCTGGAAGCCAGCTGGGAAGGAACAGTGGTTTAACTGGTTTTACTCTAGCCTGATATGCAAGAAACCAAGGTTTAATTTTGTGTAGAAATGTGCAGTGTGAATGTGAGTTAAGGGAGGCTTTTTAACTAAACTCATCCATGTAAAAATCAGGCATCTGAACAAAGCGTTATCTAGCTAAAGACAGGCAACCCCAGAAGCTGATTCTTCCCTTTCTAAAACAGGTGCTCATATCCAAGAAAGAAAACCTGCTCAGGTGGATGGCAGTCTGCAATTTTGGTCAGTAAAGCTTCCATAGGTCCTTAATATTTCTGCCACCATGTAGGCCAAGAAAAAACACTGTCTGGACGCGCATGAGAGTCTCATGTCTAAAGGAGACCTTGTGTCTTGTGTTTCACCAGCTCGGCTTGGGAGTCATCTGTCCCAGTGCAAAAATCTAGGACATAGCTACCTCTGTCCAAATTAGCCATCTTCATACTTGCTGGAGAGAAGCAGGCACTTCTGATAGTATATCAAATATTTAAACCAGTTAGAATCACAGAATAATGCAAGTTGTCCATCTGGTCCAACTCCCTGCTGAAAGCAGAACTGGCCTTGTCCAGCTGATCAGATGAATCACTCTGGAAATGTCTGTTTTCTCCATCAACTGTAAAGGCAGCCTGGATTTTTCATTCAAGGGTAAGCATCTGCATTGGTTGCCCTCTAAAGTTATGCGTGAATCCTGCCCTGAGCATCCATACGCCTGAGGGATTAATGGAACGAATGCTGTGATAAGCACCGACAGAGCACAACAGTCATGGCCATGGTGATTCAAAACCAGCTGGGAAATGCCCAGACACTGGTTATGAAGGAAACATGAGTGCCACAGGTACCTAAAGACAGTTTGGGCACTTATAGCTGCTGATGGTGTTACTCCTTTTTCAGTGCTCTGGGGTTCCTGGTATGACCACGTAAAAGGATGGTGGAAGGCAAAAGATAAGCACCGAATTCTCTACCTCTTCTATGAAGACTTGAAGGAGGTAAAAGGCTGCATATATGTTTACGGAGCTATCAAACCTGGAAGTCCAGTAGATACTACCAATGATCAACAGTTTTCTATCATAATGCCAGCTGTATCAGTAAATATTCAGATAGCATGATAATCTCACCCTGACAACAATTGCAACTTTAATAAGACTGTGTTTGATTTCTTTGCTTTTCCTGGCTCAACACTATGTTTTATTTCTTTGCTTTTGCTGGCTCTATATCTAATACCATATTATTCTCTCTGCAGAATCCAAAGCGAGAAATTCAGAAGATTCTGAAGTTCCTGGAGAAGGATGTGAATCAGGAGGTTCTAAACAAGATACTCCATAACACCTCGTTTGAGATAATGAAGGACAATCCCATGACAAACTACACTACCGAGTTTCGGGGAATAATGGATCACTCCATTTCCCCATTCATGAGAAAAGGTACGGGGTTTGTTACTGGCATCAACTCTGTCTTCCTGGTTGTCATTCTGTTTTGAAATAAGCCTTGCAGTACAAGCATCTAGCGAGTCATGGCTAATGGGCTTCAGGAAATACTGGCAAATTAACCTTTTTTTCTTTTTTTTTCTTGCTTGCTGTTTCTTAGGGGTTGTCGGGGACTGGAAGAATCATTTCACTGTGGCACAGAATGAGAAATTTGATGAAGATTATAAGAAGAAAATGGCTGATACCTCTATTGTTTTTCGCACAGAGTTGTGATTAGCAATGGGAATTATTCTCTATGATCGTCAGCCTTTTCCATTTTACATATTTTGCTTTTCCTTTACAAAATGCCTGCGTTCCTAAGATTTCAATATCTCTCTTTCACACACCACTGATTTCTCATTATCATAAGTGCCCAAATTATGTGGAAGTTTAGGTTAGTCTCCCTGAAGAAAATAATCCCAATGGATACTTCTCATTCATCCCTCCCACAGTAACTTTCAGCATTAACAAAAATTATTTCAGGCATCTTTGAGGTTTTGTCTTTGTAAAACTGCAGTTGGTATTGCTGCCATTTTCAAATCAACCTCTAACAGAAATTAGGAACCGATAAAAGGTGTTAAAAGAGTGCAACAGGTGTGGGCACTGTATGCTATTCACATGTTGTATGAACATTAATCAATAAATAACAATAAAATTTAAAGGTGGTCAAATATAAACAGAGCAACAGAAGTTCACAGAGTAGAATCATTTTCTTTTTCTCTCATTTTAAGGTGGACATCATAAATGTTGTTGTGATGAAAGCAACATTTCCAAAAACACTGAACACCCATTACTTCCTTTGATAAAACTTCCTAAAGGGCTACATAGAGAGGCGTTTATCTATAACCCAGCTGTGGAGGCAGTAGTCCCTAGTGCATCCAGACAAGAAGCTTTTCTCACTGTTTCCTTCTGAAACGGGTAGCATCATCTTCTCTTAACATTTGGAGGATTCTGATGGTTGGTATGAACCAGGTCAAGAGTCAGTGCTGCACATACCGCCTCCCTCTTCTCCATCTTTGTAAAAGTGTTCATCAGGCACATCATGTTATTACCTTCTGCTTTTCTTTGCTCTTCTCTCATTAACCAAGCATGCAAACATTCCATTGAGGGCTCTTAGTTGCAATAGGACCTGGTTGATACTATCAAATAAAGACCAGTTCTGCTTTAGCCTTAGTACCACCACTATAGCCATGCTTTGAGCTTGTGGGAAATTAACTGAAGTGATCCATACCCCATTTAATTATAGACAACTGTTAGCAATCCACTTTTGGTTTTAAAGTGCCACCATTGAGCTTGGCACACAAAAAAAGGCCCCAAAGAGTCCCTGCTTAACTGGATTTACATTCTGAATGTCAGAGTGAAAACAACATAGATGACAGCAGCTGAAGGAAAATACTTAGTCTCGTTTAGTCTAGTTTAACACAGAAAATATTTGCTGGGGGTATTTCCTCTTTGGCCTGTGCAGAGTGGCAAGGATTTAGTAATAGGAACAGCTGTCAACATGCACAGTCCATTTCAGGCTATCAACTTAATCCAAATATCTAAAATGAATGCAGTTCTCTAAAGGGCAGCAATATCTTGCATCAAGTTTGAAAACAAATAAAAAGCTTCCTGTTAAATGTAGAAGTTACACTGTCAGTTCCTGGCCCATAGAGTTTCCCTTGAAAACGCAGGGAACTCTGAAGCCAGAAACACGCATTTGCTACTTTAGTGCAAAAGTAGGCAACTGAAGGGCTTTAGCTCAACAGAGATTCCTGTCCTCAAATAAAGGATGTCTCAGTGAATTGACTACCTGAGAAAAAAAATCATCTGGCAGAGGTGCTGCTGTTCATCACAGCAAGGCTAAATATCAGCCTGGGGAGCTTTCTGCTACTTTGTTTGGGTTTTGTTTATGATTAACTTGATTTGCTATCTTACTATTGCCAGTATGAGGAAAAGGCGGTTTGCTCTCTTGACATACCTCCATCCTCTTGGGTCGCTCCATGAAACCACACGAGTCAGCTCAGTTTGTCAATCTAATCCTCATTCAGTGCCATAAGAGCCATCAGTAAATGGAAAACATGCTTAACTCAGTAGCTTGGTGCTGTACAAAAGGTCACACAGATGACCTGTTTGTTCCTCCATTGAAATCTCTGAATCGATCAGAAGTGCAAAATGCTGACGGTGGCTGAAGCCCAGCCTGAGAGGGAGCTGCACAGCCACTGCAAGGATAGAGGCACCATATAATAAGGGGCTCGTGTCACATTGGGAGTCACCTTTGCTCTTGCTTCCTTAGGTAGCTTCACCGAGCTGCAATTCAGCTGCTCTGGAAAACAGATGAAAGGTAATACAGGTCAGAGTGCAGTCCTTGGAAAAAAAGTGGGGAAACTGGATGTGTGGTTACATAAAAACTGGCTTTTCTTATCTTACTGATATTATCATTAGATATATTTAAGGAGAGAAGTGTTAACCTTTATGACAAAATATAGCTGGCAGGGGGATAGAAAAGTGGGATGTTTCTATTTCTACGCCTTCTCGAGCCACCACAGCTGAGAGAGATCAACCTGTGGATTCAGCTGTAATTTGCAAAATGTTATTAATTATACCAGTGTAAAACTACAGGGAACAGTGAATTGTTACCAGTGAAAACCATTGGATCTGTAGTTACCAGGAAAGCTTGGGAAAGGCTGTGTGCGTCCCCCAGTGGGCCTGGAGACTACCGTGCTCTGGTGGCTGTTACGACAGTATGTCAGTAGAGACGCGTATATGCTTCTGGGTAGACAACGGGAGAGTGCCTACATCTAGAGTGCGTTTAACTTGCATATCTTTAGGTTTGACAGTTGTTAGGTACAGAAGAGCTTTAAATGACATGTCTGTATACAGAGATTGTTTACTAATACCAACATAAGTTGGTAAGAGGTTGAATTTATTTTTACATAAGATACTGTAAATCAATGAGCACCTGCAGAAGGAGATTGTACATGTTCAGCTAAACTATTTCAAATCAATTTAAACTATTGTCAAGCTTCTGGCGCAAACAAGTGACTCTGTTTACTACAGTGATCGAGCTTTGTACAAAGCTCTATTAGACATATGCCCTGAATATACACCTATGCTTTATTTTCATCCAGTTACCTAGATGCGTGATTTTACTAATCTTCTTACACAGGTGCAACCTTTTCTATGTCAGTTTAAAAAGGACTTGTGCCAGTTTAGCTAATGCAGTCCTGCAGCAACTTCTTCAACACTGCTTGTCTCTTCTTTTATAAGAAAGTGTACCTGCAGAGTTTTGATAGTGGAGAAACTTTGTTATTCACCTCTAACAAACGTTTGAAAATCAGTGTTGATTAATGCACGTTAACCGTTCACATGGTTCTGTTTTCTAGCTCTGCATTAAACCTACCAAAAGAAATCCTCCCAGGGGAATGGCTTCCTGCTTCGATACAGACTTCTTAACAGGAACTGCTATATTAATTCTAGGGTAGTCACGATCGTCCTTTAGCTTGACTGTCAATAGCAACTAGGGGAGCCATTTTACTTTCACATGGAACGCAACCATTTACGAAACAGCGTGGAAGAAGCACTATGCTTCAAAAAATTAGAGAGAGACGGAGAAGGGAGCTGTTCTATCTTCTTAGCTAGCATTCAAAGACAGAGGGACACTGCTTTTCTTTCCACTAATTTTACTGTAGGTGATCTGCTTGATGCTTGGATTGAAAGTCACTGTTTCTTCAGTTAGGAAACAGACCACGGACAAGAAGTAGTTTTTATTTAATTTGTCCTATCCATATAGGATATAGATATCCTATCCTATAATATACATTATATTTTCTTAATGATGATTTATGCCAACATGCTCACAAAGAGCCTTATCTTTACAATAAGGTTAATTATTAATTCTGGAATTTTCCAGAGGTGCATTAACATTATATTTTAAGCCTGGACTGAAGCTTCCATTTCCCTCACGTCCTCAATGAGTGATGCACGCCCTATCTCAGTGTGGGCTGTAGGTGAGCCTAGAGGCACACTGAGATAGAAAGTTAAGCCCTTCATATCCATAGGATGCAACCCCACTGTGCTGCCAGACCTAAAGCCATGGGCTTAGACTGGATAACAAGGCACTGCCTGCCCTCCAGACCAAGAACATACTTAGGCACCGTGTAGGTGGACCAGGAATGTTGTCATGCAGCACTGTCCTATGTTGAACAGGCAAGTTACTCATGGATTATTTTGCAGAAGGGCTTCAGCACAGCCTGCTGCAAGGGCAGCTGGTATTTATCAGCAGTGTGAGCTCAGCCTGCTTTTAGGACTCTGTGAAGGCTCACAGTTGAATTATAGCCATCTATCGTGGCCATGGAGATAGAGGGATTATGTCAAAAGCAAGCCACGCTGGGTCCTGCTCTCGTACAGGCAATATAGGTATAGCTAGAGTCTTAGGTTAGACACCTAAAATTTAAGGTAACTAATTTTCTTTTTTTTTAATTGTTAAAATTGGGCCTCTTGATTCACAGTAACTTGTTACTGTAACAATAGACCCCACTCACCTATATTTGCTACTATCTCTGTTGGAAGTTAAAAGGGCTTTCATGTTCTGTTAACAATGGCAGTCTTTTATAGCCAGACCCAGCCCTAAGTGCTCAAACAAAATGTTAGTTTCCTTGTTTCAGTTTCACGATAATCTTTCAACAGGCTTGGTGGGCTTTGCTGACGAGTGATAGAACACCAAACTTCTTACCTCTCAGTTTCCTATTGCAATTAAAGACCAGAATTAAGGACTACATACACAATTTCTTTTTTTAATATCTAACCAAATCCTTCACACAAAAAGTAGTTTGAAGATAAATACAAAGGACAGTACTGCCGTTGCATCTTATTTACTCATATAGACACTCAGATTAGCCCCCTGTTTTAAACTTTCTTAACTTTTTCACTGTACCTGTAGCCTCTATCATTCTACTCCACTGGGAACCCACTGAACCCGAACCTGACCCAACAAAATGGCCATACTCAGCCAAAGAATTTACAGTTCATTAGCACAGGGTAGAAAGAATATTTTAAGTTTCCAAATAAGAATACTTAACATACTGTAAATTCATACCCTGCCTTCCTTTATACTAATTTGGCCTATGGAAAAGCCATGAAAGTAGCTCAAAGCAAGAATGCTGACTGGCCTGGCATGATTCACAAGCAAAAGAGTTTGTGATCTTCAGAACCTGTTGGAAAGGCAGATTCTACAGTGGCGAGTATTTAAAGCA